GGGTGTGGCTCCGCCTCCGCGAGCAGACATTTTTGGGAGCCTCCTGCAGCAGACATTTGTGGGGGCTCTTTAGCTTGGAGAAACGACGACTGAGGGGTGACATGATTGAGGTTTATAAGATTATGCATGGGAAAGAGCAGGTAGAGAAAGAGGTACTTTTCTCCCTTTCTCACAATACAAGAACTCGTGGGCACTCAATGAAATTGCTGAGCGGTCGGGTTAGAACGGATAAGAGGAAGTACTTCTTCACCCAAAGAGTGATTAACACATGGAATTCACTGCCACAGGAAGTGGCGGCGGCTACAAGCATGGACGGCTTCAAAAGGGAATTAGATAAGCATATGGAGCAGAGATCCATCAGTGGCTATTAGCCACAAGGTATAGATAGGGGCTCTGGGGCAAGTGATGCTTTGTCATCTTGGTGCTTGGGGGGGGGGGTCAACAGTGGGAGGGCTTCTAATGTCCTGAGGGGTGACATGATCGAGGTTTATAAGATTATGCATGGGAAAGAGCAGGTAGAGAAAGAGGTACTTTTCTCCCTTTCTCACAATACAAGAACTCTAGGCACTCAATGAAATTGCTGAGCGGTCGGGTTAGAACGGATAAAAGGAAGTACTTCTTCACCCAAAGAGTGATTAACACATGGAATTCACTGCCACAGGAAGTGGTGGCAGCTACAAGCATGGACAGCTTCAAAAGGGAATTAGATAAGCATATGGAGCAGAGGTCCATCAGTGGCTATTAGCCACAAGGTATAGATAGGGGCTCTGGGGCAAGTGATGCTCTGTATTCTTGGTGCTAGGGGGGCAACAGTGGGAAGGCTTCTAGTGTCCTGGCCTCACTGCTGGACCTCCTGATGGCACCTGGTATTTTTGGCCACTGTGTGACAGAGTGTTGGACTGGATGGGCCTTTGGCCTGATCCAACATTGGCGTCTCTTATGTTCTTATGGCTGTGCCCACCACACTGTGTCAGAGTTCCAAAGGCTCAAAATGGTTGGGAGACCCCTGCTCTAACCACGATGCTCTGTGCTGGTTTTATGATGAAAAGGCCACTGATTCTGGCAAAACAGCACACATATTTAGTCAATAAGTACAACCAAAAGATCAGTGTCAGGAGAGGACTAATCCTCACTGTACACTTCACCTGGATGTCGTTAGCAGACCACCGCTTGTGAACTTTGCTCTTATCTTTGGGCTCCATGTTCGCGTGGTAGGTGCCCGCCTTGATCCCCAGTTTCTGCAAACTCATGGTAATTTGCTCCGCATCCTTCTGGGAAAAGCAGTAGATGATGCCTGAACCGAGAAATAAAGATGTGTTGAAATCAGGGGTGAGGTCTCTACTGCCCATACAAAGCAAGAACGAGGATTTCAGAGGCCCCAGAGGCACATCTTTACAAGGGAGCTCACCTACTGAGACAATTGTGCTTTTAGAAACCAGCCCTTAGAGTGCGTGTTCACCTGAGAGGCCTTTGTATCTTCCGTTGATGAGCTTAACGATGTCCTCGATTAAACTCTGAGCGTTTGAAGGCTTTTGCCGAACCTGAATGTTTTTTAAAAGGCATTAAAAATGAAAAATTAATTGTAGCTCATAACTTCCTAAGTCCATTTTTGTACGATCATATACACCAGGGGTGTCAAACATGCGGTCCGGGGGCCAGTTCAGGCCCCCGGAGAGCTTCCATCAGGCCCGCAGTGAAGTTGGCCATCTCCTGCTTCCAGTTCCGCTGCTGCATCATAGCTTGCTTCGCCAGACTCTCTTAATCACTCAGCCATTCTAATCTGGGAGCGCCGGGTTTGATTCCCCACTCCTCCACTTGCACCTGGCTGGATGACCTTGGGCAAGCCATAGTTCTGATAAGAGCTGTTCTTGAGAAAGAGCAGTTTCAGTCAGAGCTCTCTCAGCCTCACCTGCCTCACAGGGTGTCTCTTGTGGCCTTTATAAAGTTTATATCTCCGCTACCTGGTGTTATATTTTATGACACACATGGCCCGGCTCGGCAAGGTCTCATTTATGTCAGATCCAGCTCTCATAACAAATGAGTTTAACACCCCTGATATACACTAATAGCCTCTTGCAATGGTCTACTGAGACCAAACCTCTGCATGTATCTAATCAGAATGCTGGGAGGTATATTTCGTTTCCTTTCATCTGATTAAAGCTCTTTGGGTCAAGTATCTTGAGCAGTCATATACCCATCTCTGATAAATAACATCTTCAAGCTTTTATGCCCAAAAAAGTCAGAAATCTAGCAACAGCAAGGGTAATTTTAGGAGCACTATCAGATAAAAGGAGTGAGATTATTTTATAGCGAGGTTAAAAAAAAATATCGTCCAAGTAGTATGTTAAAAATCGGTTCCTGAAAATATCGTCCAAGCAGTATGTTAAAAATCGGTTCCTGGGCATCAGTGTAGCAAATGGGGTACAACATGAGCAAGTGCAAAGTAATGTACATTGAAGCCAAAAATCCTAACTATAAATATAAGTCGATGGGGTCCAAACTGGTGGTAACTGACCAGGAGAAAGATCTTGGTGGCAGATAACTCACTGAAAATGTCAACTCAGTGTGTCACTGCAATAAAAAATGCAAATGCTATGCTGGGGACTGTTAGGAAGGGAACTGAAAACAAATCAGGCAGTATCATAATGCCCCTGTATAAATCTACAGTGCAGCCTCATTTGGAATACTGTGTACAATTCCAGAAGCTGTACCTCAAAAAAGACATTATAGCATTGGAAAAGGGGCAGAAAAGGGCAACTAAAATGATTAAAGGGATGGAATACCTTCCATATGAAAAAAGGTTGAAGAGGTTAGGGCTCTTTAGCTTGGAGAAATGACGACTAAGGGGTGACATGATAGAGGTTACAAAATTATGCATGTAATAATTTCTCGCAATACAAGAACTTCTGGGCACCCAATGAAATTAATGACTAGTGAGCTTAGAACAGATAAAAGGGAGTACTTCCTCACCCAAAGGGTAATTAACACGTGGAATTCACTGACAACCTTATCGGCACTTGAACGTATGGCATACAGATGGCAACTGTGCATGGACGTATTTCTAGATACCTGGAAACCTTTTATAGATGCTTATCTCTAGACTTGCCACCACTGTTGTTGGGTTTTTTCCCCCTTCTGTTTTGGGATTGCAATTAAAAGAACCCAAAAAACAAACAGACAATGTATTCTGCACCACTATTCTCAACAGTGGATAGGTAAAAGTTAAATGGGAACACTCGACTTTAGTGGGTCTGGTAGTATTAACTAGGGTTGACCCTGCTTTGCTTCCAAGATCTAACAACGGGCTAGCCTGGGCCATCCAGGTCAGGGTTTAGCAGGGCTAAGTCAACTTACATGCCCAGTATTGCACCTTTCAATGGGCTGGACTGAGCCTATTGCACCTCTGATTCTCCTCGCCCCTCATCGGAAGAAGCAACAGAGCGACAGGCATACCTCGTAGTACAGATTGGGCCGGTTAAATGACGCAGTGAAGGTGATGCACTTCTGAACGCACAGGATTTTCTGTGCATCCTGCAGAACGTGGCTCGTTGCGGTCGCAGTCAACCCGATCAACGGCACGGTGGGAAACTGCCGCTTTAGAATACCAAGCAACTTGTAATCTAGGTGTAAGTGAATGACTTTTGGTTAATAAAATACGGTAACAATGATCGCGTGCCGTCAATTTGCAACCGACTCATGGCAATCCCTCGATGATGGGGTTTTCAAAGCAAGAGGTGCACAGAAGCGGTTTGCCATGGCCTACCTCTGCACAGCAACCTTGCCTTCCTTGGTGGTCTCCCGCCCAAATACTGACCACGCCCGCAGCTTCCAAGCTCCAGTGAGCATGTGCCAGTCTGGGTTATTAGGCTGCTGTGAATAAAATATAAAGCATCCTAATATTTTTCTACTGATGAAGGTTAAAGTGGAAAGTGCCAAAGCTGGATTACGGCTGAACATCGGGAAGAAATCAGGAATTATACAACTAGATGGTTGACATAAGAACATAAGAGAAGCCAATGTTGGATCAGACCAAAGGCCCATCTAGTCCAACACTCTGTCACACAGTGGCCAGAAATACCAGGTGCCATCAGGAGCCCACATGACGATGAAGAAACTGAAATTGTTCAAGATTTGTTATTCTTTGGCTCTATCATCAACCAAAAGGGATACTGAATCCAAGAAATCAGGAGACTGAGATTGGGAAAGGCAGCCATGAAGAAGGAGGAGGAGGAGGAAGTGGAGGAGGAGATTGGATTTATACCTCACCCTTCACTACCCGAAGGAGTCTCAGAGCAGTTTACAATCTCCTTTCCCTTCCCCTCCCCACAACAGACACCCTGAGAGGTAGGTGGGGCTGAGAGAGTTCTGATGGAAACTGCTCTTTTTTAAGGACAGCTCTGACAGAACTACAGCTTGCCCAGGGTCATCCAGCAGCTGTAAGTGGAGGAGTGGGGAAATCAAACTCCGTTCTCCCAGATTAGAGTCCACACAATTAACCACTACACCAAACTGGCTCTAGAAAACTGGAGCTAGAAAAGATTGTTAAGAGTGAGAATGTGTCGCTGGCAAACAAGATAAAGATAATTCATGCCACAGTATTCCCCACTACTATGTATAGGTGTGAAAATTGGACACCGAAGAAAGCTGACAGGAAGAAAGTGGATTCCTTTGAAATGTGGTGCTGGAGGAGAGTTTCATGGATATCGTGATGGACTGCCAAAAAGACAAATAAATGGGGTGTAGATCCATTAAGTATGAACTCTCCCTAGAAGCTAAACTGAGGCTATTGTACTTTGGTCACATGATGAGAAGAGTCACTGGAAAAGACAATAATTCTAGGAAAAGGTGAAGGCAGCAGGGACAGAGGAAGACCCAACAGGAGATGGATGGACTCAATGAAGGAAACCACCGTCTTCAGCCTGCAAGACCTGAGAATGATAGGATGCTTTGGAGGACATTGGAGCACCTTCCCTATGAGTAAAGGCTGAGGAATCTGGGACTTTTTAAGTTTAGAAAAGAGATGACTAAGGGTTTATAAAACTATGATAGATGTTGATCAAATTATGCATGGGGGATCAAGAGAGTTGACAAAGAGAAATTTTTCTCCCTCTCCCAAAATACTAGAATTCGAGGGCATCCAATGGAGCTGATGGGCAGTAGGTTCAGGATGGACAAAAGGAAATACTACTTTACACAGAGAGTGATTAAAATGTGGAATCCGCTGCCAGAGGATGTAGTGATGGCCATGGTAAGAAACAGCTTTCAAAAGGGATTAGATAGATTTGTGGAGAATCAGTCTATCAGTGGAAACTAGCCATGGTGACTGAGTGGAACCTCCACATTCAGAGGTACTAAGCCTCTGAATCTAAGAGCCAGGGGGGGAAGGCCTCGGCCTCTCTGCCCTGTTGCAGGACCTCCAGAGGAACTGGTTGGCCACTGTGTCAGTCAGGATGCTGGACTAGATGGGACCACTGGTCTGATACAGCAGGGCTCTTCTTATCTTCTTATTAATTCAGAGGGTCGCCATAAGTTAGAAGCACCTTAACGGTACTAAACACAGACACAATATTTTCACCAGTGCATTATTCTACGCTGCGCTTCAGGATCCTTGTAAGTGGCAAAACCATCCCGCCCCTCTGAATTAACCAGATCTCCTTTTATTCCATTAGAAGCTCATTGATAAAACAACTCTTGAGCAGCAGAAGATTCTTATTCCTCATTTTTTGAACATAAGGACTACAAGGACTGAAACGGTTTTTCCTATTGCCAAAGTGATCTTAGGATCCTTATCCCTAAGCAAAGGAGAGAGTTTCCAGGGTGTAGGGGGACGACTGATCAATTAGCAGCTTGATATAATGATACCTTTTATATTCTCAAAAAAAATGCACTCGAGCAGAACGTGAAAAGCTGTATCAATCCTATTAAGGCCACAAAGGCAAATTCTACCAGAATAAGGCCTATTCAGAAATCTCCCCTATAGAACCACTGAAAGTATAATATTCAATCTTATGACTAAGAAAGCTCTGTTGTCTCATGGGATAGTAAAATAGTACATATTGAGGGGGGGGGGGGTTAAAAGATTTCTTTGGGAAAAGACCAAAAGACAGGCTCTTAAGATCAAACTGCTGTAATCATTTTCTAGGACATGCTTTTTGATCAAAGAAAACACTTTGGATTCGCCCATATCGGAAATATGATTAGGCGACATTCCAACTAACATCAGTTTCTGGTCCAGAGATAACGAAACCTCCAGTAAGCACAGTGAAGGCTAGGCTGGAAGATTTCACACTGTGTTGTAGGTTGTCAAGCTCAGGGCAGTTTACTTTCAATTTCTAGCAGTCCTGGTTCTTATCACTGTACTTTTGCTTGTCATATCAAATTTCGGGAGGGGGGGGTGTTGCTGGAGTACATGGGAGTAGCGGCTCTGTAACTTTCTTGAAGCAGCGCCCCAAGATAGTTCCCGTGAGACTGTCCTTAGAGATCTGTATGCCAGAGGCTAGGTTAGCTAGACCATCATATATCTGTCCATGTTCCCATAGAAACGCCAGAGACTAGGTGTGACGTGTGTGTGTCTATGGAATTTCTGGGTTTTACCTGTATCTTGTATTTTCCCACGCTTTCCTTCAGTCCTAACAAAGGCTTTGGAACCCACGGCATCGTATCACTAATAAAGCATTACAGAGCCAATAGTGTGTCTGGAGAGTGAATTGACTGGGGACCTGACATAGGTTCTCCTGGGTTTCCTCAGTAACAGGATCAAGAGAAGCAGACGAAT